TATATATATATCAGCTCTTCTTTATCCATTCATCTATTGATGGACACTTACGTTGCTTCCGTATCTTGGCTATTGTAAATAATGCTGCAATAAGCTTAGGGGTACATATATCTTTTCGAATTAGTGTTTTTGTATTCTTTGGGTAAATACCCAGTAGTGGAATTACTGGATCATATGGTAATTCTTTTTTTAATTTTTTAAGGAACCTCCATATTGTTTTCCACAGTAGCTGCACCAGTTTGCATTCCCGCCCACAGTTCATAAGGGTTCCTTTTTCTCCACATCTTCGCCAACACTTGTTGTTCCTCGTGTTTTTGATTTTAGCCATTCTGACAGGCGTGAGGTGTATCTCACTGTGGTTTTGGCAGCTCCCTCCCCCTTCTGTTTATCTTCTGATATCTCCCCACAGTTTCACGACTCCCCACGGTTTACCTTGCCAAAGGCAGTTGCTTTTCTGCTTGTAGAGATCCAGATATATATTCTTACATCTCAGGCTGATTTTTCATGGGTGTTCAAAATGGTTTGATAAATATCCAGCTAAATTCTGGGGACTAGTTGAAACGGGGTCCCCTTCTCTGCCATCTTGCCTCCACTTTTCATTGTGGTTTTGATTTGCATTTCCCTGATGATGAGTGATGTTGAGCATTTTTTCATGTGTCTGTTGGCTATCTGTATGGCTTTCTTTGGAGAAATCTCTGTTCATATCTTCTGCCCATTTTGTAATTGGATTATTTGCTTTCTGAATGTGCAGTGTTACAAGTTCTTTACGTATTTTGGATACTAACCCTTTACTGAATATATCATTTGTAAATATCTTCTACCATTCCGTAGGTTGTCTTTTAGTTTTGTTGATGGTTTCCTTTGCCGTGCAGAAGCTTTTTATTTTGATGTAGTCCCAATACTTTATTTTTGCTTTTGTTACCCTTGCCTGAGGAGATATATCTAGAAAAATGCTGCTATCGCCCGTATCAGAGAACTTACTGCCTGTGTTCTCTTCTATGATTTTGATGGTTTCAGGTCTCACCTTTAGGTCTTTCATCTATTTTGAGTTTATTTTTGTGTATGGTGCAAAAAAGTGATCCAGTTTCATTCTTTTGTATACTGCTGTCCAGTTTTCCCAATACCATTTTTGAAGAGATTTTTTTACCCATTGTATATTCTTGCCTCCTTTGTTGCAGATTAATTAACCATATAATCATGGGTTTATTTCTGAGCTATTCTGTTTCATTGACCTTTGTGTCCATTTTTCTGCCAGTACCATACTGTTTTGATTCCTACAGCTTTACAGTGTATCTTGAAATCTGGTATTGTGATACCTCCCCTCCAGCTTTGTTTTTCTTTCTCAAGATTGTTTTGGGTATTTGGGGTCTTTTGTGGGTTACATACAAATTTTAGTACTGTTATAGTTCTGTGAAAAATGCTCTTGGCATTTTGATAGGGATTGCACTGAATCTATAGATTGCTTCTGGTAGTATGGAGATTTGAACAATATTAATTCTTCCATTCACTGGCATGAGCTATCTTTCCATTTGTATCATCTTCAATTTTTCATCAATGTTTTCAGAGTACAGGTCTTTCACCTCCTTGGGTAAGTTTATTCCTAAGTATTTTATTCTTTTTGGTGCAATTGTAAATGGGATAGTTTTCTTAATTTCTCTTTCCACTATTTCATTGTTAGTGTATAGAAATGCAACAGATTTCTGTAGATTGATTTTGTATGCTGTGACTTTAGTGAATTCATTTATCAGTTCTAGCAGTTTTTTGGTGGAGTCTTTTGGGTTTTCTATATATAGTATCATGCCATCTGCAAATAGGGATAGTTTTACTTCTTCCTTACTGATTTGGATGCCTTTTATTTCTTTTTGTTGTCCAACTGCTGTGGCTAGCACTTCCAGTACTATGTTGAATAAAAGTGGTTAAAGTGGACATCTTTATCTTGTTCCTGACCTTAGGAGAAAGGTTCTCAGTTTTCCCCATTTAGGATGATATTAGCTGTGGGTTTTTCATATATGGCCTTTATTATGTTGAAGTATATTCCCTCTAAACCTACTTTGTTGAGGGTTTTATCATGAATAGATGTTGTATTTTGTCCAATGCTTTTTCTGTGTCTACTGAAATGATCATTATGGTTTTTATCCTTTCTCTTATTGATGTGATGTATCAGGTTGACTGATTTGCAAATACTGAACCACCCTTGCAACCCAGGAAGAAATCCCACCTGATTGTGGTGAATGATTTTTTTAATGTACTGTTGGGATTCAGTTAGGAAGTATTTTGTTGAGGATTTTTCCATCTATGTTCATCAGGGATATTGACCCAGGGATACTGTAGTTCTTTTTTGTAGTATCTTTATCTGGTTTTGGTATCAGGGTAATGCTGGCCTCATAGAAGGAATTTGGAAGCTTTCCTTCCTCTTCTATTTTTTGGAATAGTTTGAGAAGAATAGGCATTAACTCTTCTTTAAATGTTTGGTAGAATTCACCTGTGAAGCCATCTGGTCCCAGACTTTTGTTTTTTGGGAGTTTTTTGATTACTGATTCAATTTCATTGCTGGTAATCAGTCTGTTCAAATTTTCTATTTCTTCTTGATTCAGTTTTGGGAAGTTATATGTTTCTAGGAATTTATTTATATCTTCTAGGTTGTCCAATTTGTTGGTATATAATTTTTCATAATATTCTCTTATAATCCTCTTTGTATTTCTGTAGTGTCAATTTCTCCTCTTTCATTTCTAATGTTGTTTGAGTCCTCTCTTTTTTGATGAGTCTGGCTAAATTGGCTATTACCAATTTTGTTGATCTTTTCAAAGAACTAGCTCCTGATTTCATTAATTTGTTTACTGTATTGTTTTGTTTCTATTTCACTTATTTCTGCTCTAATCTTTATTATTTCCTTCCTTCTGCTGGTTTGGAGTTTTGTTTGTTGTTTTTCTAGCTCTTTTAGGTGTAAGGCTAGGTTGTTGATTTGAGATTTTTCAACAAGAAATACATTTTTAAAGGGCACAATAAACACAAATTTAGGATGATGGCTTGTCTGGAGGGGAGGCAGAAGAATGAGATGGAGAGGAACATATAGGTTATGTAAGCTATTTTTCTTGGGTAGGATGGTGGGTTCATGGGTATTTATTATTTTAAAAATGAAAATAAAATAATTTAGGGCAATGCATGAGTGACAAAAAAATAAAAATAAAGTAGTAAGATGCTGAAATTAAATGCCCCAAGAAAAACATAATCTTTATGGGATATTAAATATTTCTAACTATTAAGACTGGATTTTTGTTTTAAATCCAAAATGTATATATCCAAGATAAATAATGCCCTTCAAAAGTATCTATCAGGGGCACCTGGGTGGCTCAGTCACTAAGCGTCTGCCTTCGGCTCAGGTTATGATCCCAGGGTCCTGGGATTGAGCCTTGCATCAGCCTCCCTGCTTGGCGGGAAGCCTGCTTCTCCCTCTCCCACTCCCCCTGCTTGTATTCCCTCTCTCGCTGTGTCTCTGTCAAATAAATAAAAAAATCTTTAAAAAAACAAAACAAAACAAAAAAACAAAAAACAAAAGTTATCTAACACATGTGACTATAAACATAAATTCCAAAATTTATGATCACTGCTTTCCTCTCAGAAATAATTTACAAAATACTCTAAAAACTAAGCTTTTTAAATATTATCTTCATAAAAATCTCTTCTCTTTTACTAAATTAGCACTGTCTAGTTCAAGGTCTAGGATCAGAATGACCTTTGGTTGTTTCCTAAAATCAAATCCACTCTCTACAGACAATAATCACCACTGGGGATATTTAAAAGAACAAGACAAGTCTCAGAAGTCAGTCTCCACGAAGTGTGTTGGCAATGAGAGAACCGCCAAAGCAAAAGCATGGGCACTACTTGGCTGTGAACAACATTCCATTCTAACATTCAAGGAGAGTGGCAGCCATAAATATAAGAGTGCAGCCCCCCAATGCAGCAACTCGAGGTGGTTTCAGAAACCTGAAGAAGGCCTGCTTATCCAAAGATAGGGATCTACTGTTGAAAGGAATTCTGAAAAGCCCTCTAGTTGTTGCATTCAATCAGACTATAATCTTACATTATGACTGTTCTTTTCTTTTATTTTTTTAGGATTGTTATTTTAATGCTTGCACTGTCTAATTTTTCAAGGCTATTAAATTCAAGGCTATATCATATCTATTAAATTATCTTATTGTCTTCTAAATTCTAGGAGATACTATTATTATAATTGGCATTCATTCTACATTTGACAGATAAACCATCTGAAATTATTTAGAATTATATAGGTATTTTATGGCAGAGTCAGACCCTGAATCCAAGTCCCTTAACTCGCAGCTCTGTGCTTATTTTACCAGTCCAAACTAAATATAAACATCTAAACCAAAATCACTTGCTTTGGAGAACAATGAGGAAGGCAGACTCACATCCAAATCTCAGAAATAGTACTTACTGCGAGTTGTAGAGCCAATTCAAACTGCTTGTCCTGGAGAAGCTGTTGGATTTGGGTTGCCATGGGGACAGGAATGAGTCTCCAAACAAAATGATTGCTGGCCACATAGATAATGTTTGATCTGGAGGCAGGAATAAGAATATTAGCAAAAGAGCACAGGCTTTATGATGACACAGGTGATTTTAAAAGCTCTGCAATAATATGGCAGCTATAGTAAAAAAAAGAAATTCCTTACCCTCCCGAGGTAATGAAGCGGGGCCTTTGCAATTCAGTGCTCTGGACCAGAAGCCTTGGTTCAAATGTTCGGATCTCCACATATCGAGGTAAAACTGCAACGATGTAGGGAGGCTGGTGCTCTGTACAAGAAAGAACACTTTGAGTTATAGATCTGGTCTAAGGCTTTAGGTTTACGGATTGCTTCAGTTTCCCATTTCTAAGCTGCATTCAGATGGGATCTCCAAATAGTCCACTACTCAAATACCAAGCCAGGATCCTACGCTGTGGTATCCAAAGGAAAAAAAAAAAATTTGTTTTGTCCAAGTGACACTAAGAGAAATCTCGTGCACAAGAAGGATGCATCCAGCTTTGCTGAGAGTGACCTGATCCCACTCCTACCATCAGGTGAAAGCTTCACTTGCTCCCTTTCTCATCAGTCACAAAACCAAGGCAGAGAAAGGGCAGCTGCAGCTGCCCCTAACAACGCATCAGTGGGAGAAGGTTACATGACCTCTTCTTTCATTCTCTTGGGAAGGGCAAGAGGAAGGCAACTTCTTTTTTCCCTAAAATGAGGCTAAAGAGAGTTCCACATTTCTGGCAAAGGTTATTGTTGCTTGAGATTTTCACAGGGAAAAGATGCAAAACTCCACCCGATGCTTAATGGGTCACAAAGAAAGCAGCTGGTTGGCATTCTCAGTGTGGCAGTTTTCTACCACTTATATGAGGTCCAATCATGGAAACAGAAAGTAGAAGGGCCAGGGGAGGGAGAAAAGGCTTGTTAATAGATACGGAGTTTTACTGCTGCAAGATGAGAAAGTCTTGAAATCTGTTGCATGGACAATGTGAATATGCAAAACTACTGAACTGTAATAGAATGTAATGGTAAAGATGATGATAGATTTTGTTTTTTTTTTTTTTACCACAATTAAAATAGAAAATTTTTTAAAGGGAAAAAAAATAAAAAATGAACCACTAGATGCATAATTATCATATAGAAACTTAACCTCAAAGACTATATTCATAGTTTCTTAGTGTGGCTAATTTGCTATGGATTTATTTTTGCCATTTATTTTCTGACAAAAAATTTTTCATAGTATATATGCAGTTTATACAGTAAAAATTTTAAAGCCAGAAGGGAACTGGCCTAATATTTCCATCACTTTGAATGCTACTGCTGTTACTATGCTAGTATTTTTCATCTTCTAAAAAAATTAAATTAAAAAAATGTTGTTTGGTATTGGATTTTTTACTTCTCTTTTTATGCTGGCCTCATTCTTAAAAACTAGTATAATCCCCTTTATTGTTAATCTGTATAAATATGTAAAATTTCTCTCTCCTTTAATCTGGCCCACTTTAATAAGGTCTAATTTAATAAAAAAAGGTAATCTATAATAGAAAGGCTTTTGGTTGTCATATTGTATCATGGTCCGGTCTCCCCAACTCTTTGACAACAGAGTTGGTCTGGATCTCTGTATCTTCAAAACTTGGCAGAGTGGCAGGTATACAGCAGGCGTCTAATAAATGGCCGACAATGACAGTGATTCATCCATTCAGCAAGCATTTCCTAAAAGGCTATGTTACGGGCCCTACTCCAAGTGGATCAAGACATACGTCCAGAGCTCACAGAGCTCCTACACAGAGGAGACAGACGACTCACTGCATCCAGTGGGACAGTGTGGGGGCCATGACAGAGAAACCTGAAAGGGCTTTGGAAGCACCACGGGGGAAGTGATTCACTCTGCCTGCGCGTCAGAGAAGACTTCACAGAGGAAGTGCCACTGAACAGGGCCTTGTCACGTGAGCAGGACAGTGCTGGGCAGAGAAGAAAAGAAGAGGCAAGAGCACAGGTGATGATGGCTCGGTGAGGGGAGTCCAAGACGAATGGAGTCTGGGTGAAGTGGTTCAGTTGAGAGCGTAAGTAAAAATGAAGTTTAAAATGCACACCACTGAAGAAGTTTAGTCTTTGTCCTGTCAGATGGTGGTTCTCCTACCCTACCTAGAAAGAACGCCCTCTTCCTCCCTCAGTATGTTAAGGCACAGAAACGTTTTTGAGAAACACTGCCAAAGGCACTGGGCACTAACAAAGGTTTGAAAACAGGAACTCTCACACTAGGGAATAGGAAGCATAGTTCAAGCATATTACACACATCTTCATCAATTCTACCGCAGGGAACACAAGCGCCCCCCAGAGCACCATGAAGCTTTTCATGAAGCTCTTAGCCCCTCCAACTTGTTAATATACATAATCTTGGGCCTTACAAAATACTGTCCTTTGGACTTTTCTTCCTTCTGATCTGTTCATCTCTAACCACCACCAGAATAATTACCCTAGAACATGATGCTTTTACCAAACATTCTACCAGTTGGGAATCTACTGGTATCTCAGACCTTTGCATGGGCCTCTAACAACCGGCCCTACCCTTATTCCTCTGTAATTCACATCACCTGTTTTAACCAGGTCAGTCTCTGTAATGTCATTTACTCTCAGTTCTGTCACAAATGAGCATTTCCAATCATTTTTTGAACTATTTTTTTCTGCCTAGAATGAAAGGAATTTTTCTTCAAGCCGAGTCCTAAACTCCCTGCCTGGTCTAGTCCAATCTTACCTATGTAATGAAACTTCTTACTGGCAAGTTGAACTTTCTGAATGACTGAATCTCAACTCATCCAATTTAACACCTTAAGCAGTGCCTTGTTTTCTCTCTTTATCCAAGATGTTATCCTTACCTCCCCAGCTAGAGTCTTTAAAGATGGCATGTCTGTATGCCCCACTCCACAGCAGTAACTATTTTTAAAATGCTCACTCTTCTGACTGAAAATGAATTGCTGCGAGGGTGGTCACACACTTCCAGGCAATACCACTGCTGAGAGCCAGGAGGCAGGGTAGGAGCAGAAACACCTAATGTGCCAGCCAGAGACTTACATCTAAATGCAATCTGCACCTCCAAGCTACAAAACAACAGAAGCAATAACCACCTGTCAAAAGCACATCAATACTGAGTTACATGTATTACAGGAATAAAGAAAGAATTGCCACTAATTTCCAAATGTAGTCTATCTGGCAGAGGACACAATAAAACCATTACAAAGAAGGTAAAACAAAAAGGACTCAGAAATAAAACTATATGGCAATAGACAATCACTTCCTAAAACACATAATTCTGTTTATATTTTTCCTCCTCTGGGGCAAAACCTGGCTTCCTACAAAAATCAGGATATCGCATTTTTAATAACTTTAAACACTTGTCTACTTCTAAGAAGGGGAACTGAGAGTAAATGACATTATAAACCACAGTCTGTGAAAGCCATAAACGGAATTCCATTCTGCAAGGATGACACACAACCCCGGCCCACAGTGGGAAATGGCTGCTATGGTGGTCTCACCCATGGCCACTGGTATGTCTGTCCAGTTCAAGGCACATTTCTGTGTGCAGATCCCCTCCTCATTGAGCACCACGGTGAGATCATCCTGACCCACAGCCACTTTTCCATCCGCCAGAGGTGCAACTAATGGCTCCAGCTGTTTTCCTGTTGGAAAGAGCTCTTTGATGGACCCTTTTCCATCCACCTATAGGAAGACACAAAGTGAGTCAACCAGCGTTCTCTTGCTAGAGGCATGAACACGGCCTGAAAAATCCAAATAAAACCCCGAACCTACAGAAGCCAATAATATTCCTTGTTTGGCATAAGGAAATATTATGGAGTTTGTTATGACAAATTTTGTCATCACAACATAGAACCAGTTCTCTTTTTCTCTAACACAGAGACAAGCATCTAACCTAGCAACTAACAATGTCAAGTGCTGGTGAGGATGCAGAGCAACTGGAACTCTCATTCGCTGCTGGTGAGAATGCAAAATGGTACAGCCATTTTGTTTGTTGGCTTCTTCTAAAGTTAAATATATACTTACCATACAACCCAATAATCCCATTCCTTAGGCACTTGCTGAAGAGAAATGAAAACTTATGTTTACACCAAAACCTGTACGCAAATGTTTATAGCAGCTTTATTCATAATGGCTAAAAATTGGAAACAACTTTGTCCTTCAACTGATGAATGGATCAACAAACCATAGTACATCCATACCATGGACCACTACTCAGCCATAAAGAATATAATGACACACACAATACAGATGGATGTCAAATGCATTATGCTAAGTGAAAGAAGCCATATTCAAAAGGCTACATACTGTACGATTCCATTTATATGACATTCTGGAAAAGGCAAAACTATAAGAGATGAAGAACAGATCAGTGATTACTAGAAGTTGGGGCATAGGAAAAGAGGTTGACTTCAAAGGGGCAGCATGAGGGCATTTTTTGAGTGATGGAACTGCTCGGAATCTTGATTGTGGTGGTGGTTACGTGACTCTAAGCATCTATTGGAACTGTACATCAAAAAGAATGAATTTTACTGTCTGATCTAAATGAATAATTTTTGAATAGCTCGGGCCAAACCAAGATTTCCCACCCTCAAAAAGAGGCTGGCAGCATTCAAGATAGTCAGAGGAAAGAGAGCCTACTCTCCAGCTTCTGGCTCTGTATCCCCAGCCCTCACAGACTTCTTTCAGCACCTATAGGCCTCACTGCTACTCTGCTCATCAGTCAGCTGGAGAGGAGCGACTCCTCTATGAGTTTGCAACTCTGATGCTGATAAAATCAGGATATTCCAACAATGTAAATATAGAACAAATATACTAACTAGATAAATAATGAATAGCTAACACGGTGGGGAGTAGGGAAGTGGGGAGAAATGGAGATGGGGGAGAAAGGCTTCTAGAATTGCCAAGTCTGGAATATGAGAGGGGTATAAGGCTAAGGAATTTGGATTATTCTATGAAATGCATGGTATATCAACCTATTCTACATACAGTATGCATAATGGAGGAGAAAAACCAATGTCATGGATATTTACCACTTAGGTTAAGAAAAAGAGGTTATAAAACAATGTGTATAACATGCTATTTTTGTAAATAGATGGAAGCTCATCTACCGAAAGTTTAACGGTGATTATTTCTGAGTGAAGGGATTATAGGTGATTTGTACTTTCTTTATCTTGCTTATTTATATTTCCTTATTTTTTATATTAACATATGTGGTTTTTGAAATTTAAAAAAGAAGTAAAAATAATTTTTAAAATAAATATACTAAAAGATTTTGGGTTGCAGGAAACTCAAAGTCTTAAAAATACTTAAGTTAATACTCGGGGCGCCTGGGTGGCTCAGTTGGTTAAGCGTCTGCCTTCGGCTCAGGTCATGATCCTGGAGTCCTGGGACCAAGTCCCACATCGGGCTCCCTGCTCAGCGGGGAGCCTGCTTCTCCTTCTCCCTCTGCCTGCCTCTCCCTCTGCTTGTGCTCTCTCTCTCTCTCTGACAAATAAACAAAATCCTTAAAAAAATAATACTTAATACTAAAATTAGTTTATAATTCCTGAGCACTGAAGCCTTAAGATGACACTCCATGGTAATGCTGTTGAACGGAGGCAAGCAGCCCTAATTATCTGTTCCAAAAATTAGATACAGGATATGGATAATTCATTATGTAGAGAATTGAGAGTTGATGCTGACTGGCATCAGACATCTATTTGTAGAGATGCTGAGAAGCATAAAAAAAAATAACCAAACATACAAACACAAACCCTGTTACGCCAAAACACCACTTAAGGCAGTCTCTTGACCTGTAGTTCAAATCACGTGATCCTATCCCCCAGGTAAATGGATGATATATGCAAAAGAATAAGTTTTACCCTTATTAGGTAGTAGTCTCTCTTGAAACCCACACAGATAGAATTTTCGCACCAGGCCATGGACTTGGGCACATCTGGTACACTAAAGTCCCCCTGAAGAAAGAAAGCAAGAGTTCAAATGGAAAGACGTTAAAAGAAAAAAAACAACAACAACAACAAACTATGACTTTCCTGTTATTCTGCCTCCACTCTGCAAAATCACCCTCATTCTCATCTAAACACAAGTCTGTAAGTGCAAGGCCGGGAAACCACCTGTAACAAAAATTTATGTCACCCATGAACTGGATGACTAGATGCCTTTAGAAAAGGTGAAACCCACTTTGAAATAAACCAGTCTGTATAAACGTTGCAGAACTGGATTACCACTGCCTCTGAAGATCAGGAGACTGACGAGTGGCGGTGAACAGGCTCCCCTGTACTCACGGCAGAGCCTTCATCCGGACAGAGCTCTAAGACTGAAGGCCCTGACCTTCAGTATTACTGAAGAGGAAGCCTTTCAAGCTTTGGACTTCACCTGCAATTCATGGAATTCCCTGTCCTTCCAGAAGTAGAGCTGCAGCTTCTTTTTCACGGCCACACACATCCGCAGCACCTCCTCACCGGTCTCTGTGTGCTGGGAAGAGACACCCGGAGCAAATGAGGATATGTATGCGATGACTCCATAACTGAGTGACAGCTAAATTCAAGATTTTCTACCTTGAAATGGCTACTAATCTGAAAATCCCCTGTAATACAAAGTCACCCTTGCCAGACAAACTGAATAGAAGAACACCATTTTTCTAAGACATTCTTAGAAACAAGAGGCTGAGGAGCACTTCCTCCCCAAGGGCTGCTAGCCAAAGACCCCAACCCCAGCAAATCTCTAGGACATTCATAATTCACACAGGAAAATCCCAGGGCAGGCCTTCACCTATGTAACCGCTTACTCCTTTTTTTCTTAAATGTTTCTCACTCATGGCTGTCAATACATGCTGGTCAGGGATCAGCATGTGTCAGTGGCCATTTTCAATCTCTTAAAGAGGGAGGAGAAGAGAAAGGTCTAAGCATAAAACAATGCATTGTCGATGTAGACCACAAAGGCTAAAAAGTGATCTAAGCTGAGTAGAAGGGTAAGGCAGATTTTGAATAATGTAAGGATGATGAATTGGCACAAATAAGAAATGTCTTTCTCAAATGACCAAAAAACCCCTATAGACAAAGAATACAATAATATGTTCAGAACAAGTTCAACTTAATGTCCCATTGCTATGTTCGTGATACTGGTTAAGTCTGGATTTCCCCACTAATGGTTTGTCCATGGCAAAGGCTTTTAATCGTGGGTTAGTTGGTCTGGTGCTCTAATTAGCACAAACACGGGGAACCCAAATGTTTCCCCTTCAGACCACATACAAAGGGGGAAATTTCTCTAAAACAGTCCAAAATCAAACACTTTCTCTGGAGTCTCTGCTGGGTTCGCATATCAATGTTATTCTTCCCACCTAATGGTAGGAATAATATAAGAAAGACCCTATTTATTAAAACATGAAGTCAAATTTCATCTTGCCTACACTTACCTGGAGGTCACATGTGAACAGTGAGGCTCCCTTTGCCTTTGAAACCGTAGTGATTTGTTGAAATGTCAGTAAGTCATGGACATAAATGTTATTTTCTGTTTGGAAGGAGGAATAATAACAGTATAAATTATCACAATTCTCTACACACACAAAAATAACTAATGATGAGAAGAACCAAATGGTAAGTGTTGGTTGAAGATGTATCTTTGGTTTCACTAACAATGATTTATTCTGGCCTATTATCAGAATTACATTACAAAATGTTAGAGGTCACTTTTGTTCCTTTAAATTCGGGCTGGCTGAAGCAGAAGAGCTCTCTCGCTACCAAAGCAATCTTACACTCTGTCTTTCTCAAGTCTGGAAATTCGTGATGCAATATTTGTACAAGAATAGACTCTCAAAGCTACTTCCATTAGGAGGCCTCAGCGGAAGAAAGGAAATCCTCTGTGGATTTGGTACAATCCCATGGCAAGGATTTCTTTTCTGGCAAAGCAAGCAAAATAATTTCACTCGGGCCTCCTACCTAGTTTTACTCCTGAAGATTTAGTTACTTTAAATGTTTCTCTCTCCACCTAGAAACTTAGTTTAAAATGATTCTACCATTTTGGCCCTGGGCTGAACAGTACAAAGCATGAGGCAAGTTTCCAGTCCTCTGTTTGTTAAGAAAAGGCCTTGCTGGCTGCCTTCAACTGAATCTATGGCTTTTCAAATGAGGCCTGAATAGTCTGGCCTTGATGGGTCTCTCCCCTATCTCTTGCCACTCTGCCACTCTCCACCACACTTCCTAGGTCTGGCCAGACTCCAGGGCCTCTGCTTAAAATGCTCTGCCTTCCTCTCTCTTCCTGTCAAAATCTTAATCATCCACTAGATGATGTTGTCTTTCCCATTACTAAGATCCACAACATTTTTTATAAATTTCCACTGTAACTTACCACACTGTATCATGATTACTTTCTGTCATTTCAGTCTTCACAATCAGAACATAATTTCAAAGACAGAAACCATGTCTCATTCAACTTGGTATCCCCAATGCCTAGAGCAGAGCTCAATAAATATCTGCTAGATGACTGAATAAGTGAATGAATGAATGAATGACACTCCATGGAGAACAGAGCTCAAGTTTATGAGGGATGCTGTTGCCTTTAATACCTGTGTACCCTGCTGTGTCTGGTTTGGAACAGGTCAGTTTCACTGTCTATCAAATTAACCATAAAGAGTGATTAATCAGGTCATAACTTTTGTTTTTTGACACAGGAGATATAACTGCAACCCCTTTTCTTACCTAACAAGCTGACCAGAATCTTAAACTGGGAAACCACATGGATCTGGAAAAGAACAAATCATTAGACTCAATTAAACATTTCCAACAAGGCTTAACAAATGTTCATTTAAGTACAGTACTAAAAAGGGACTAAAGAGTCTATGCCAATGACAGGGATCTGACTGATATTTATGTGCAATCGCAATTTCTGCTCATTATAGAGGATCTCAGGCACATGATGGATGAACCCAGATCCCTGAATAAATGGGAGAACAGACAGCAGAAGATTCAGAGTTAATAAATAATGTTATCAAAGTTCTAGCTTTGACAGGGTCTCATGGAAGTCAAATATTCTTGTAGTTACCACTATCACTGCCTACCTGCTGAATCTTTTTGGAGAAGTTTTTATTGGATTTCTCTAGTGTCACTTCAAACCTGTTGCAACCTATGGAAAAGAAACAAACATTCACAGTTCCAAACATGTAAAAATAACCACAACAAAAAACGCTGCTCCACATTCCTGCAGGAATCTAAAAATTCCTAAAGACTGGAAGCTGGAGATCTACACTAGACAGCTGTCTTCACTGAGTACAGGAAGCTGCTTTCAATTCCAATTTTAGAACAGAGGGTTTCATGCACCTTCACTTGGCATTAGCAGAAAGAATCATACCACAGAAATTCACTGAAGCTGCCAAGGTACTTGTGAGTCTGAAGGTCTTATCCTATAAAACAGTACCTTGGTTAAGTGTTTGTAAAAAGTAACAGTCAAATACCAGAGCCCAAGCAATGAAACCCTGCCTGGAGCATCCTTAGATCTAGACCAACTAAAGCCCAGCAGCTACCCTATGTCCTGCATCATGGGACACAGCAAACACTCAACACTATCCCCTCAGCTAAAGCAATTTAATGCATCTACACTTACTGCTGCTCTCAGGAGATGCTACATTGGTTGGCACTGTTACAAAAAGGGAAGAAAGTGACATACCATAAAAACACGTGATGCCCGCCTTGTGGAGATGACAAAAACATTCAGCCTCAAAAGTCACCAAAAGGTCAAAAAGAGAATAATCATCATAATAATTACAGCAGTTATCACAAACTAACCAATAACTAAGTGCCACGTTCTGGGTTTAAAAATTTATATATATTCCCTATAACCTCACAACTACTCCCCCAAGAAGTCAGTATTATTATTCCAATTTCGTATGTGAGGGACCTGACAGGTCAAGTAGTTAGGTAGCCATCAGGGAGAGACAGCCCAGAAGCAAACTTGGGGCCGACTGTAAAGCCCGTGTGCTGAGCCGACACCCTGCCACCTGCCTCCCAGCTTGTGAAGAGACTGTTCACACTGCTGACCCCAAGCTGCTCCCCACAGCTAGTGTGGTCCATGGCTCAGAAGTCTGTGGAGCGTCTCCGAGGCAACCACAAGGGCCCATGCCACCAAAGCTGGTCTTACTTCTTCCACATGTCCCTCAGCAGAGGAGATGAAGGGGCTCTGGAGTTGCGGGAAATTCAGAAACATGCCCTCTATTCTGCCATTATATTTCACAAGAAAAAAAAATTCAGCCACTTCCTGCTTGATAAACAGTTCTGTATCTGAAAAGGGCTTTATTATTACTTCCAACAATTCTCTTCATAAGTAGAATTATCTAGGACTGAGATTCTCAAACTTTGTGGTGTCAGGATTCCTTCACAGCCTTAAAAATTATTGAGAATCCCGGGGCGCCTGGGTGGCTCAGTCGTTAAGCGTCTGCCTTCGGCTCAGGTCACGATCTCTGGGTCCTGGGATCGAGCC